CACTCTCAACACGAAAAGCTAATCAATTCGTAGCTTCCGTTCACATCTGGCCGTTTTTGTCGCGACCGTTTTCAGGCCCTTCATAGAAAAGCAATCGGGTAGTCGTAAACGTTAAGGGCTTAGAAGTACCCCCTGGGGGCACCTAAAGGTACTACGGTTCTTCGCACTAGAAAAAGTACGTTGGTAGCCCTAATCCGGGACAGCCGTCAAGGGTGTTATAAGGACGGCAAAAAGCGTAATTTAAAGCTGACTTAAGGTTTCGAATTAAAATGAAGAGGATATTCGAGACCAATAAATATTTTTTTGCTCGCGAATTTTTATTTAAGTAAATGTGTGTGTGATGGGATATAATTATATAAAATAACGAATTTCGATATTTACCTATACTTTTGTTAGGTAAAAGAATATAGCTATCTTACTAAAAGACGTTAGTTAGCTATAATCCAATAGCTGTAGGTAGATAAGAATACATAATATTAGGTTTATTGTTAGATACTTTCTGTGAAAACGTAAAAAATATATTCTTACCCATATTTATTTTTGTCTCTTTTGTCTCTCAATTTTCTTTTATTGTTGAACTTGCAAGATTAACTATAACTAGCGTTTGCCTTGCGTAGTTTATTAACTTACTAGCAGAACCCGCGGCTTCACTTGCGCTAAAACTACAAAAAATCTCTAAAAAGGTATTTTCATACAAACTTTCATCCCCTATTTTACCCCCTATAGAATGAATTTCGAAAAATGCTTAAAAACGTATTGATTTAATTTTATTGAAGAGCACTAATACCAAGTTACGAGTAAATCTGATCATAAATAGTTTTTTGAATTGTATTATAACGTGTTTTCCCGCGGGAATGAGATGATCTTCCGCGACAAAAAGTAGCCTATGTCACTCTCCAGCTCTCCAAACATCTCCATACAAAAATCAAGCCAATCCGTCACTCCGTTTCGACGAGAGAAGGACAAACAAATAAACAAACAAACAAACTCACATTTATAATATTAAAGTATATGGATAAGTGATGTTAGGTAATAAGGTAAGTATAGGTAGCTATATAACTTTTCTCAATAAATAGGCTTTAAACGCAAAAATTTTTAAGTCTGTTTGGTATCGACTTTGTGAGATAGATTCGTTAAAACAAATAAAAAAAACAATATCTTCAATTGTATAATATCATACTAACGACTACCAATGAATTATAATAAATGTAATTTAGCTTTCTAATCAATCATCCACTCCTAAACCAATCCTAAACGGTATTTCCCTAAAGACAATCTAGTTAGGTGTTGCGACACAATGGAAGCCTAATTGTAATGCCTGAATCTAGACCCATTGTTCTACTTAAGGTCAGCGTTCAGGAAATAAATATGTATGCAAATATTTATCCAGCTATGCATTAGAAATTGAACACCTATATTGTGACATTGGTAACGAATCATTATTACATTAAAAGAGATAAGTGATATGAGATATCTTAAAACTCTACCCACTCTACGGTCGCTGCTAGTTTATCTTGTATAATGTCCTCTTCGCTGATTTCGGTCCCGGCGGCCAATCTCACTGAGAATAGACATTTGCACAGGAGATATTATAGCAGACAGAAGTGCAATCTCTATTCCATTCATTCTCTAACTCCGATGATACAAGAATTTGACACGATCAGTATAAGATTTGGCGCAGGACCGATAGCTTTGCGTGCTCTCCGAGGTATGGGGATGAAACACAGTCAAATTGAACTCCGCACTGTTACTAAAAATTAATTATTTTCTTGAAAGAAAATAATTAAATAACTATAGGTACTTGGTCCAACATAGGACTCAAACTAAGGATATCCTGATACGCAACTGTACATGGTATCCACTAGAGTTAGACCATCGTGGCAGTTAAAGAGCGAGGTTACCTTGTTTACAGTGTTAGTGACATATCTTTAACTATATATAAAGACCGTGACAAATAATAATTATATGTCAATAGTAATTTCGCAAGCAACACGCGAATTCATGACCTCCAGTTTATGCAAAAATATTTATAGCAAATGCAGCGTGGAAACAGAGTTACATCGAGAAAATATTGATTCTCATGTTTAAATAAATGACGCGAACTCGTTTCGGTGACAAATTCATTTTAAAATTAATTTATTTATCTACTTTTTAACTTTTTTTTCTGATTAAGGTTGTTAGAGTTTATTTTATAAATATTATAGAAATTATGTTAAGATGTGGAGTTAAGATTGAAATAGTACCTAATATCATGTAAAAATTACTGATTTTTGCGTAAGAATTGTACTAAATAAAAATTAGTAAATAACTACGATGGTAGTGTATATCATCATTTTGGCTGACACCAAAAATATATATGTAGCAATATACTCTATGGCTGACACTAAAAATATATTATAGTAGTTTGAGTACTACGTCACTAACCGTTAAAATTTCACTATTTACGAAAGAGTTTTATTTCGTAAAGGTTTTTTATTACATTTGATAATTTCAAGGTTCTAAATAGATTTATTTATTTTTATGTAAAATAGATTGTTTCTAAGGCCTTTTTAAATTGAAGCTAAATTATTTTTTTTAAATATAGTGTGGCATTACAAGTCGACAAACACGTCCTCACTTCAATTTGCCATAATAGAACAATTATTCTTGAATTGTTAGCTTCTCATAAAGGTTTCTATCATAGTGTATGTACCTACCTGCTAAATATTTATGAGGATGATAAAATATATTATATGTTAATGATTCATTGCGTGTTGATGGAGATCTTATTGTTTCTGAGTTTTAGGGTAAATCTACCCATAAAAATAATGTGTGATTTTGACTGATTTACCATGCAATGTTTATTAGAAATTATTCTCAGACAGCTGTGTCTTTAGAGATGTAGGTACTAGGTACTCATTATTGATCATAGTTGCAAACAATATTTCAAACTCGGGTCTCCAGGCGATGGGCGTGTCAAGTGGGCGGGGCTGGGCGGTCCGCAGGGACCTCCCAGCGAGGCCTCAACTTGTTGAAACTCGTTTCTTATGAACGGTGTGTATGTTGGTCATTTTATTGAAGTATGTATCTCGTAATAGATATTATATTATATTTTTTACTTAATATTTTTACAAGATATATATAAAGCAATTAAATTTTTTTAGTTTTTTAATTGTGCTATTCTCTTAGGTTAAATTGATTAATAATACTAGAAAATATTACAGTGAAAGAAGCTACTTTTATAAGATTTTTGTAAAATCTATAATGTTCGATCATGCAATAAGCAAAAAATAAATAGGTAGGTACCTATTGTAACAAAAAATAAGTGCAATAATTCAGAGCGGTTCTTACCTATAGGTACATATTTTTAAGTAATATGTACCTATATATTTTTAATATTAAAATAATAGAATTAAGGAATTGAATAAACTAGTACCTAATGCTAAATAAAAATAAGTAGAGTCATGTTAAAAATTTAAGCATTTTTGTATTACCCTAATAAAAATATTAAATCATATTTATACTTTAACTTATAAATGTATCTGTACTTTTTTTGTTTCTCATTTTATTTAAATCTAACAACTTCTCTTAGGAGCGGAGCAATCATAGATAAAATAAACTAGGTACAGATGAAGAGCCACGGGCGAAAGCTGGTATTTGTGTAAATATAAAAAAAATACATTTACTTTCATTAATAATTAAAATAAGTTAGTTAAATCTACTAAGCCTCTACTGGATGTATCTACTGCTGTAGTTATGATCGAGAATAACAGTTCTCAGGGAATGATGATGTCAACTTGTCAATCGTTACAATTACAACTGAATTGATAAACACTAATATTCCCATAAGAGTGTATTTTAGATATAATCTTGTTTTTAAATTGTAATAAACTAAAACTATACAATATATATGAAAAATAAATATTTTTGGTGTTTATAAACCAATTTATATTTTTTGGAGAAAAATATTTATTTATGGAAATATATAATTATTTGTTTTATTAGCTAGAGATAGTTTTTGGGAGTTAGATATTACTGAAAATCTTATAATTTTTTAAAGAGTTTTATAATATACTTTTAGTTAAAATTTAATTAGCAGCTCCAGGTAGGTAAATTTCTAAGAAATAAATTAAATTCTAAGAAATCTATTGTTAACTCACACGCCGGCGTGTCCGCGGTCGTGGAGCGATTAAGAAAAGAGGGAACAAAATTAACTGCACTATCTGTAGTCTGTACTTAGTTCACTGCATATGTGTTCAAGACTTACGGCAGAGCAGACAGTCGCATATCTTGTATATTATTAAATCTGTAATTAATTAATTTATTAAATAACTACATACTATTAGGCACATATTATCAGCAAGCATACGTTTTATTTAACGCAGATGTTTAAAATAAAAAAATACCAGTCTAACGTACCAAAATTTAACGACTATCCATGGTTTTTAATTTTTAATATAATGAATTATGTATCAAATTCAAACCGAGAAAAATATGCTTAGGCAATATGAAATATTTCTATCCATGAGATGATAAAATAGCTACTAATTGACATGAAACAGTTTATAAAGTATAAATTTCAAAATTAATCTAGGTAAAACGAGTCGCGATTTGTGTACACTCCGCAGCACAGCGTCAAAGTTTTCATTATATGTAATAATTAATGTAGCGACAAAACCTCATCACGCAAGTAGTTAAAGTCAATTCCCACTGAAATTTCATCATCGTCAATCTAACTTGGTTAAATAAGTAATCCTTGCGCTGTGGGCCGTCCCAAAGCATAGGCTGGCTGGTCCAGAGAGATGCTGTACGTCTCATCTCCCGCCGTCCCTTACCCGCGCGCACCACTAACGGTCTCTGAGGGAAACCTCGCCGCCGACCCGCCATTACCATATAACACGACGTTCTGACCGCACATACACGAAATCTTATTGCCTTAAAAAAATCACAAAGTAATGTACTAGCAAATAATATTTTTTTCGTATAAGAAATAGGTTTATTTATTATTTTCGGTGGTAATAATGGAGTATGTGAGTGGCGCCATCTACGTTACTCGCGTTGTCCTGCTCTTGAGGCGAGGGCGTGTCCCTAGGGCGCCTCCCACAGTGGCATCCCGGCGGGACGGACGGGCGCCGACGCCCGGGCACTCGGCGGTACGCTCCCGCGACGCTTGTTAGTGTTCCGCAAATCCACAGCGGGATCGCCCGCACTACCGGGACTCTCCCTCAACGCTGAACGCTCATACGATACGATAACACAGAGTCACCTATCGGATACTTAAACAAAACCCAAATTCAAAGTTTCTTTTACAATTTTCAAAAGTTTCCCAATCGAGCTTCAGTGTTTATTTCTGTTTTTCTGTTTTATTTTACCGTTTTCGAGTGTTTTACTTTTGTGTTCTTAGTATGGTTTGGACATTTGAGTTAGTGCGCGTTCAGTTAAGCTTTTAAATCGCGAGAGCGTTTATTTCGGTGTAGTGTTGCCCGTCGAGATTCGGTCAGACGAGTTAAACGCGGCGGCGGGCGGGTACACGGGCTCGCCGTGGCCGCCGCTGGAGCTCGATCCGGTAGGATGGGGTCGCAAGCTGTACCCTTCAGGAGCGCCGAGGTCATCAGGTAACGTCTAAATTTAAAAATTTCAAAAAAACTCCAGTGATATGTTTTTTATCTGAAGTAGTCGAAAGTAGGAGTTATACCTAATAATTGTAAATTAAGTTATCCTATGATATTTACCAAAAAAAAAATATTTCGTAAAAACTAGATTAAAGTTTAACTATATATTTTTAAATTGGTTAGTAAATAGTTGCATACATATACTAAAAATAAGACGAAATTTTTTATTAAAATTTTTATTTTTGTTAGAATGAAAGTTTACAATATTACCTATTGTAAAGTTTATTTCAAAATTTTTGTAAGTTAAAATTGTCTTTTTTACATCTTATTTTGATATATTTTAATGTAGGATTTATTCTTTTAATATGTACCTTAATTAGATGAATCGTATATTCATAACTAGTTAGGTTTTGAACTTTTTTTATACATTTATTAATATAATTTATACGAATAAATGATGTTACATGGCCAAATGCTAATATTAAATATAACATTTGAAAAATATAATAAATATATTTTTTTCAACTACCTACATCATGTCAATAGGCAAATCATAAAATATTATGTATAAAATGGTCCATGACAAATTATAGTTATGTAATGAAAATAAATTAGATTAGCAAATAAAAATTAAAAATATAATACAAACAATCTTATATTTAAAAAAATTGAAATTAAAGCCCAATTTTTTGTTAAATGTTACCTACTAAATTTAAAGTTGTTGAGTACCTTTATTCGCGGACATATCAAGGTGACTGATCGTACTAAATACAAAAAGTTCTGAATTGATTTTTTTATTTAATTCGAAATTAAAGCTCAAAAGATCTATTAAGAGCTCTACGAATAAAACTATTTTATACTAGCGACTCACACTCCTTAACTCGGGTTCGTCCCTAGCTAGGTAGGTATATTTTAATGGTTAGGTTAGTATGGAACACATAGTCGATCCCTTGCTCTGTAAAGAACAAAAAAGCAGCTAATATGTTATTCCAGACTATAATCTATCTCTGTGCCAAATTTAATTCAGATGCGTTCAGCCGTTCTGGCGTGATTGAGTAACAAACATCCATCCATCTAAATTTTCGCATTTAGGTATATAGTACCTACTCGTAGTAAGATTATGAGATTAATGGGATAATTTAATGTTATATTAAATTATATAATTATAGTTTATGGTATAGATATTTAAACCACTAGGTATATGCTATGAGTAGGTACAGTAATCCTATTCCATTAGTATAAAATTTATTATTTACAAATATATAGTAAAATAAAAAATATCATTGATTCATAGGTGGACTGATGTTCGGCTTGCACCACCAAGAGACGGCTGGGGTGCACGCGCAGCCGAGAGGTCCCGTCACCTCTCTAAAGGAGGAACCGTTAACTCGAGCGTGGATGACTCCGACCTCCTTAGTTGACAATACTAAGTAAGTATTTATTTAACTTGAAAACTGTTAAGTTTGTAAAATTCTTGTTTACTATACTAACAGTCCTAGGCCAGAGAACAGAAGTTCGATTACTGTTTGAGGTTTGGCTTGGCTTGGTTTAAATAAATAATAAAACTCACTATTTTAGAACATCATAAAAATTATCTCCGTTTCCTAGTGATGTCTGAATCAAAGAAAAAGAGCCAGAGAAGGATTTTAATACTATAATATGATTTTTTTTAACATACAGTAGCATATACATAATATCTAGCACTGCCCTATAATAGGTCTATTTTATAGATTTACTTAAGTAAGAAAATATGCTTAATCTGGAGTACATTGTTAAAGCTTACATCATTTCAGTAAAATAAGTTCAATTTCCTGCAAAATAATTTATCTTTTTTGGATACTTAGTTGAATATTTTTTTATATTTTTTGATTAAAAATACATATTTACATTTATTTCATCTGCTTATAAAAAAAATGGTGAAAAACTTTGAATATTTTTATTTAATTTTTCTAATTATATTATTATTATTATTAAAATATATACACGAGAGGCCTCCTTTATTTCAAAGGAACTTACGAACAAAACATACACACTGCGCTTTTGGCCCTTACTATATCGATTTACTCACAATAGGGCAGACTAAGTAAACCCTTATTTACGGTTATAATAAGCCAGTTAGCGGAAAGAGCATCGGACTAAACATATTTAGAGCAAATTGTGTATTCTACAAACAGGCACAAATGTTCCTTTAAATAACCGAATAGGATTAACATGCATTTGTAGGGGACTTTCGGTTGTTTTGAAAGTATGTACCTACTCGAACTACATTTCAAATAGGTTGTATTAAATAATTATATAACGAAATAATATCGTTAAATGCTATATTATAAATATTTTGTTATTATAGCTAAAAATATTTTTTAAACCTTAATTTGTCTCTATATGTTATCTGGTATCTCTTCGGAATGTGTATTTGTTTGCGTTATTACCTACTAAATTGCAACTTTATTAATCTATACATACCTACCTATAAAATTCTAACTGAGTCGACTCTGTACATTAAATATTTTTTGGAAAATCTTATCGAAATAGCCGTTATTATCTATACAGAGGCCGAATCTATAGTTTTTAGAAGTATTATCTATCCGTCTGTCTGGGAATGCATTACAAGAAAAACACTGGACAGATATTGCTGAAACTTTGTATGATGTTAGCTGGTTATCCGGATCAACATATAAGATACTTTTTATTATATCTCATCTCTGAGAAATCTATACTATCCGTCTATAATGGACTTTATTGATACGGGTAAACTTTATTTTAAAAAAAAACAAAAAAATAAAATATTTTTTCATAGAATTATATTCGATTGATATCTACCAATAACTTAAAGTAACATTTTAAATACAGATCTTCCGAAGTTCAGAGTTTCTACCAAATAAGTCTAGACAATAATGTAATTACATACATAAAAATCATCGACACTTTTTATATTGTTATAATTTAAAAAAGAACATTTTTTACTATAGAATATATTATGCAAACAAATATCAACTTGTCTTCAAGCTACACCTCATAACCGATACACAATAACGTTATTACCGCATATGGGGTCCAATCAGGGGCGAGCAAATTTCGCACGGCGATAATGAAACGCGTAGCAATAGCAAGTGTGTTCATAAACGCAAAGGGCGTGATAAATCATTGCGAGCACAGTGCGGGGCGTTTTACAGTTTCGCATGCGACTGTAGATAATGAACGGTCTATAAATTAAAATTTCAATAGCGATATATCATTAAAGCGAGTAATACGAAAATAGTAGAGCCGGCCAGATAACACGCTCGTGTAATGAGTGGAAATTTTGGATACAACGGTAATATGATTTTCGGTGGTTAAAAAATAAAAATCATAATTTTGAATTCATTCAACATCATTAACCATCATAACTTTGATTATAAAAAATAATATACATATATATACACGTATATAAACATTAAAGAAATTTATTTTTATTAAGACTTATATAAAAAACGCAATATTTTCCTAACAATTGCATTATAAAACCATATCAATCGAGATAATTTTATTCACAAGTAAACACATCACGGACTTGACAAACTGTTTACTGTGCCAGTAATGAAGTTACACAATCGGCATTTGGTTCCGTATAATATGACGTATTGATACTTGAATTAGGGCGCATTGTTTGCGGAACGCTTCTACATCTGTCATGGTTTACTTAACAACTCCTTTGTGCAATATTTATTTATTTGGTACCATAAAACAATTTTGGTATGAAAAATAAATATGAATAAGAAAATTAATTTAGTTTCTCTATGACGATACGTTTAGCTCAGTTTGTAATGATTCTACTTGCTAATCCAGCGGTCGCGGGTTCGAGTCCCGCTGGGGGTATATATTTGTATCATGAGCACAAATGTTTGTACTCCTGTCTGTTGTAGTTTATATTTATAATATGTATGTACTTAAAGTTATATTTGTGTAGTGTATAACCTATTTAGTATCCATAACACAAATTACACAAGCCTCGTAGCTTACCATGGAACTTGATGATGCTGTGTGTTAATGTCCCAACATATCTTTTAGTTTCAATAATTACTATATTATTCAATAGGATTATTATAAAAATTTAATCATTTTTTTGGTTTTAAAATTGCTAATTACATGAATACCAAGTGAAATATATCTATAATTTAGTTAATAGCATGAACTCATCAGCAGTGGGTTTGACAAATGTAGACAGATCGCCGCGTCACGGCGATGACAGCTTCATTTATAAAGTCAATTCTAAATCATTATCGTTACATTACCCTACTGATTTTCGGCTTTTTGTTAATTATATATTAGTCTACTATTTTAGTTAAAGTAATGAGAATTAAGAAGTTAAAATTAATAGCCTGAATTTTAAATAAAATTTCATACTAATAGCACTGATAGTATACTTTCTCTTTCTTTCATCAAGTTGTAATAAATACATATATAAAACAGACTAAAATTTCTGTCAATTGAATACTAGGTATTTATTTTAACATGTATTAATAATTTGTTATTACAAAATATCTACAATATACATAATAATATAAGTAAAATAATCTGTAATGTTTATAGTTAGATTTTTCCAATACTCGGGTCTTTTTTAATTTTATTTTTATTTTTTTAATTACTTTGGGTATCATAATTGCCCTTATTTGTTATTAAATATAAGAAAATGTGCATTATACATTAACTTGTAATATAGTATAAAAATCATCCAAATTTTTTTACGTATATTATTTACAAATTTTCTAATTTAAATATACAGACAGAACGAATACAGTATATTTTTACAACACATTTGTTACCCTCGCACTTAGACTAAAACAAACGTTGCTACGAGTATATTACGTTTACGTGGACATCTCCTATCCATTTTGTTCCTTTCTGAATTTTTACTTTAAATCGTATATTCGCATGTACCTATTTTTATAGTGCAAAAAATTGTAGCTCTAAAGATTGATAAATCTACGGTGATCTGTAAGCAAAAAAATCGCTACAACCTAATCGCGGGCGCGTTGCCGAAACTCGCAGCGATAAATAAAACAATGGAGCGACGCGAGAGTATAAAATGGCAATCGCAAAACCAATTTGTTTACGCAAATTCTGCAGCAGGGAGATGAATGGGCGACCATAGCGTAATACCGCTCTGGCGGGTAATGCGACACTAGTGTTGTATAGTTTTATTGATTGTATCGATTATGTAACGTAACGCTTTACTAAGTGTTACGAATTTATTATATTATCTAATCTTTCAAGAAAAATTGGCAATTTTTAAACGATTTTGATTATAAATAAATTGATGATATTATCTCTCTCATATATTATGTAACTATCTTATATTAAGAGATCTGTTTATAAGATGAAATACGTATATTATAATTAATCTAATATCTTAAATTAAATATAAATTAATATTATATACTCAAAATATTATAACAATTTTACATATCATAACTGATACTAAGGAACATTCTACGCGATTGAACGATGAGTAATGTTACCAAAGAATTTTTAGTTTTATGTTTCTAGTAATAAGTAAAACTGGCAATGATTTTAAGTTTAAATAATATATAATATACATAGATTTAATGTTTTCAACTTAAATAAAATTGAGGAGCATAATAATTATGTCGATATCGAACTATGTGGCACCGTTTATATAACGTCACTTACTGATTTTATATTTGTGAAAGAATTACCTTTTATGCTGAAAGTGATATATTTTAAGAAAACCAAAAGTACATATTTAGAAAAGTTTATTTATAAATAAATAGTATTTGGGTAGAATGGGAAGCCATTTATTCAAACTACTATAATGTAGACAATTTTTAATATGAGGTAAGGGTTTCACAGTTATAAATCAATTTTTAAAGGATTATGATTTATGCTATTGTTTTTCTATACACGTTCGTGGTTAGACAGTCGGACTTAGTGATTCTGGTGAGAAACGTCTGCGTCTATTGACAAATAGAGGGATAAATAAAGACAACTCAGGCGGAATTTTAGATTTATGGCCGTCTTGCCAACCCCATATCCGTTGTCACTCAATAGAATATGCGGCCGTGTTTAAAAGCTCTAAAAGAATTCACGCATATCATTTACCATTTGTATTGACAGTAGTGACTTAACATAATCGTTTTCTTTATTTTTATTGTTATTTATTATTTATTGTTTTTCAATTTCTAATAACCCACTAATTTTAAGAACTGCCTATCAATTTTAGCAATATCTGTTTGTATTTCATCGTCTTTGAATTGAGGTAGCCTGTAGCCTATTTAACATCGCTCTATTACCGTCATGAGTGGAGCAATTCAAATTATATATACGCCAAACTAGCGTTATTATATATATATCTGGGCGACCGAACTTAGCTTATTGCTTTTCGAATAAACTATACAAATTGAGTTTTTTCATAAAAGACATATATATATATATATATATATATATATATATATATATATATATATATATATATATATATATATACCTTATCTAAATACAAAATTTTATCTTAATTATTAGAACCGTTTCCGAGCTAAATTAATCTTGTTAAATCCGTTCCTACTTATAATAATGTATTTAATGATCCAAATTATTTGTGGATAAATAATGAAATTTATACCATATAAAATAATTACAGCTTTTTTAAGTTATTAACATTTATTGTATCACAATTCAATTACATATATGTATTCAGCCCTTTTTAACGTCCCACTGCTGGGCACGGGTCTCCCTTCAGTACGAGGGAGGGGTAACTATATATATGTGTCCAATTAATTTTATTTGTCCTGTAAGAATTGTGGTAAATTTATCAATCGAGATATATTTCTATTTCTAGATAAGTATCTCAATACATCTTAATTTTTAATACGTAAATTAGTCAAGTAATTCTCAAGAATTAAGCTACTTTTTAGGTTACGTAAAAGAATTCTTGGAAATTAATACTAAGGTACAGTTATAGGCCACAAAATAAAATTTAGCTACCAAGTAAAATCGGCAATTATATTTATTAGTTTTACTTTACATAAGTGTAAAATATTTATTTTTCTTTCAGTACCGTGGGTGTAGGGCGCGCGCACTTTGAAAAGCAGCCGCCTAGCAACCTGCGCAAGAGCAACTTCTTCCACTTCGTAGTGGCGCTGTATGATCGCGCAGGGCAACCTGTTGAGATCGAAAGGACAGCATTCATTGGTTTCATTGAAAAGGATCAAGTAAGTTATGTCAAATTCCTACGTTAGATTTATATATTATGTTTAAAATATTTCCAATTGGTAAGTTATGTTAGCCGGAAGGTGAAAATGGAAAACTGTTTTTAATTGATGATTTATAGCTGAAAAATGAATAGTTTATAACGATAAAAATCTCTTTTACAATTTTTTGTAACGTGCAAGTTAATATTTAATCTTTTTTGTCAGTATCAAAAAAATTGTAAACGTAAAATATTTTTTTGTATATTTGTAACTTAAGACATTTATTTCAGAAGGAACTTAATATTATTGAAAATAAAATTAAAATCTTAATATATCTAAGATATAATTTTAAAATGTTTTTTAAGTGTACAAAACTTTGAATAAAAAACTACTTTTGATTTAGAAACAAAAATATCATACATTTTTTTATTTTGACAAGGCTTTACCTTTCTAGCTGGTCTTTGTGCCTCGCCTTTAATGATGCGTTTATCAATTCTTGATAAGTATCAGAATATACCATCAATCAGGATCGTACGGACATCAGTACACTGCACAATGCCCATTTACATAATTCAGCCGCGTTGGTGGCGTGTCAAATTAATGTTGTTTTGTTCGCAGTTACTACGTCTCAGATGTCATATGTACTCAACTATTCTAGAAATAATATGTCTGATTAAATTTTTATCATGAAAAAATAGCTGCATTTTAAACTTTTGCATGAATACCAGTCAAAAATATATATAAATCTAATCAGTTACTTTATACGTATGTATATTTAAAATTTACAAATTTCGTTTAATTATAACGATGTCATAAATACAGCTTATTAATTTTTCAAATTAAAATTTAGTACAGTAAAAGAAAATAGTATAAGTTGTGACTCTACATTTTGTGACTCTACATATTCAAAAGTTGTAAACACTAGTGAAAGCGATTGAAATATGAAAGCGTGTAAGTAACCAAGGGCGTCGCGTTCACACGTCTTGTGTGTAGTGCTTAATTATTCAGCAACGTAACCATTTTTAGATATAGGTACCTCTCGTGGAAACTAAGGCCGCGTATTTACAGTCATATTTGGAATGCAAATTATTTGTCCTACTATAAACTTTTTATTAAAAATATGAAATACTTAAAATATTGTTTAAAAATATTACACTTTTATAGTTAAGCTTTAGGCATGCAATAACTATCTAGTCCATCAGAAAGTATGTAGTAACAGGTACATCTATACATTTAATAAAATTGTAACTGACCGCTGTCTGTACATGAAAGATATTTGAGAAAAAATATTATTGGGGGTCTTTATTAACGCAATAGAATCCAAAACAATGATTTTTAGAATTTTTGTCTGTTTATCTGTATGTCTGTGCGTTTGAGCGCGTTTATCTCAGAAACAGTTTAACCGATTTGGGTATATTATTTTGGGTATATGTATATGAATATTTGTTTCATTTTAATCGGCTTATAAATAAAAAACTTATATCGATTTAAAAAAAAACACCTAGGGACAAACCCGAACGTAGCGAGGGTGAGTCTCTAGTTATAAAATATGTTCACTCAAAAAATATTTCAATCATTTAATGTATAAAAAAAGACAAAAAACATACATTAAAAAAGAACAAAATGTAAATATAACATTCTTAATTGAATAATTCTTACCAGAATGTTGTAAGTGTGTTTTTGTTATAGGAAGCCGAGGGGCAGAAAACAAACAACGGTATTCAGTATAGACTCCAGCTACTTTATGCAAATGGTAAGTAAGGAATTAAATATTAATGAATAATCTTGATATTATAGTAGATGCTGTATTTGGCAAAATTTTGAGTGTATTTTTTATGAATAAAGTAACAATTAGTCTAAGACTGAGTACTTAATTTTTGTATTTAAAAAAATATTTGTCCTATTTCAACTGAAGGCTTGTCTTTTAATACGTGTTTAGTTTTAACAATGTGTGTTAAAGATCTTGCTAATGCGTCGTAGTCTGAGATAACATATTGACGTACTATTTGTTTACCTTATTTATTTCAATATAAATATGAATATTTAATCCATGCATCAATCGAACTAGGCACCTTTAATATATCAGGTTATTTTCAGGTCATCTACAAACGTGTAAACAACTATATAACATATATACCTATATAATACTAATACATATATTCAAAATAACTGTTCTCTACATACACGCATGCATATCTTCATGTTATGTCCTTTGCGGAATAGTCTGACAGTAGACAGTACAATGGAAGAAGCGACTGAGGTAATATGTACATATCATGGTTCCACGATGGTTACAATCTCTACATACCTCATTTGGCTCTACCATTGTCAAAATCTCCTTCATACGCTCTCGTCGAGAGGTTCTCAAACTTTTAACCTGACCTTCTTTAAATAGGTATAGTAAACGTTTGGTCTTCGAAAGTCCTTTGAGGTTCCTACTTAACCTTAATATATTATTTCTTTATACAAAAACAATTTGAGCGCGTTTTTTATGTGTAATGTCATGTCATTCAGAGTATTTCTTCACTGTGTATTCTATCGTATATGATGGCACAATACTGTCTTCTGAGATTCTGCTGCATACATCTTTCATACTTAGCCTACCACATCTATAATTCACTGTCGTATAGTAAAATCGGGACCAACACTGCGATGTACTGCCAAGCTTGTGGCTGTACTCACAGCCGATCGCTTCATTCGCTGTTGACTCTATTATCGGTAGCGATACGATTTTCTATTTTGTTCCAGATTTCGATTTAGATGTCTGCCTGTCTGTTTGTGTTGGCCAATCTTCTGGCTAAACTAAATTTGAAAAAAGAGAAAATAAATATTTATACATATAAATCTTTATATATATAATTCTTCTGTGAGTGTGTATGTCACTGAACTTCTCTCAAACGACTGGACCGATTTTGATGAAATTTTTTGTGTGTGTTCAAGGGGATCTGGGAATGGTTTAGATTCACAATTTGAATAATAATTTTCATCAAAAAAATTATTAAAAAAAGTTTGAAATTGTCAAATTAAAGACGTGTAGACAGGACAACGTCTGTCGGGTCCGCTAGTATGTATAAAAATACTAAAAGTGCCATAAGGAACCTTTTATGTATTTAAAAAAAGGATTTTCCCATATTGGAAAATAAAAGAAGAATTAATAAATCGATTTTAAAAGGATATCTGGAAAGTATGACTTAACCTATTTCTATCGTTGAAGTGTGGAACCGTAGGCATATGCTAGTATGCAATTAATATTTGAGTTCAAAGTTTGTTAAGGAGAAAACACTTAGAAGATTTAGTAAACAAATAAAACAAAGCCCAGTATTGTCTATTAAGATGCATTGGGTCGATACCTTTCATGAGGTGGGTAAACATTCGCTGACTCAGCATTGTCATAGTTCTTGAACCATTGTTATTTGCGAATAAAGCTTGAAATTCGACTAAGGTATTTATTTAAGTAGCATTAATTCTTGTATAGTACACACTAGTTGTTTTTATTTTATTGTAATGAGATCCTAGATAATGAAAAATATTTGATTATTACTTTAAACATATTTATTAAAGTTTCGATTTGATGTATAATAATTCAAATTTTCAAATCCAAAGCAGCCTAAATATGTTAATATATTTAGAAATGCTGTTTTGGTTTTGATATATGTTTATAATATAAACCACTATCGTCCATGGTGCCCTAGTGATCATTCAAAATTTGAATTTTCTATGACCGAAGACTGTAGGTTCGAGTCCTGTCAAGGCAAACGTTTATATTTGAATATTTATTATTTGTATTTATTGTATACACAAGTTAGTCACAATTTTTTTTCTATTTTAATTGTACCTAGTATTATGAATAATACTGGTACGTTACTGGTGCTTTAGACCTTAACGATCGTGTTCTCACTGGCATGTAATGAAAATTAATTTTGTGTACAGTTTAGAGACAATGCATAGGACGGACGCATTGTAAATATTTGCCAGTTTGGACGTTACGGAGATAATGGAAAATTGGCACCGAATAGACGGGCTCTTAGACTATGAATGATTATTGCGTCTCAAGGCTCTTAGGCGATATATAGAGCGAAGTGTACACTTGTACGCTTGTAAGTGGTTTAATCGTAGAGACTTAAATTATTTATATTTCCTTACTTTATATACACATAGATGTGATTTTTCGTTTTGGCAACAGTAAGAACTATCAAATATTAATTTAATTGGTGATATCAATTTTGTAAAAATAATAAAGATTTTTCTTTTTTAATTTTGTATATTATAGTAAAAAATATAAAGCATTTTATACTGTATATATACTTTGTATTCTATAATCTATACATTTAATAAAATTCTAACTTGATCGCATCTGTTCATTAGGGGAAGGTGGGGGAATTGCGGACGCTTAAGCGGAATCAAAAATAAAATTCAAACTATTAATAATAATCAGTCTGTCTTTATTAATTATTAAACTATAGCTATTTACCTATTAAATCAACAATAATTATTAAATGAGATCCATCAACATTTATTAAATTTTAATCAAAAACAAAAACATATATGTCCGTAATTACCCTTAGCTCTTGGGGTAAATACGGACCAGTGCTGGGTTAATTGCGGACAACATGGGGTATTTACGGACGAGCTCCAATTTCATTTGCAGAATTCGCAAACGTAGCCTCTTGAAGAAGACCCAGCACTGCAATTTTCATGTGCCCAATTCTTGCATTTTAAACACATAATCCAGTCTTCGGTGGGTGGGTCAAAATACTTTTCCTGGCAATAAATGCAGAAATATTCATCATTTTCTTTATCACATTCAATTTTTTTTAAGTTTCTTAAATCTTTTGGTCGTTTTTCTTTAGTCAGTTTTGGTCTCTTATTTGTAGTTTTGGTCTTCTTTTGTTCTAGGTTCTTTCTCTTTCTTTCTATTTTCTTTTGTTCTTTTTGCTCTAGGTTTACTTTTTCCTGTGTGCTGGTGAAAATAATGGAGTGTTTCTTTTTAACTAATCGTTTTGTACGAGTAGGTTTTATAGTTGGAACTTGCACTATATCACTAAGTGGTACTAAGGCAGATGGACAAGTTTGACTTGTTATACTTTGATTAACACCAGCTTCACTAACATCATCCACTAATGCAGACGTAGGTATTGTTTCGTTTAAATCGTCAAGGTTGGCATCATTATTGGAAAGTTGAAATATTTCCTGAAATTCTATTGGATTAGAAATATTTTGATTGGCAGCATCACAGACAACATGAGATTCATTCTGGGACTCATTTTGGCTTGAATTGTTGGTATTTGTTTGTATCCGTTGTTCAAGAGGAGGGACTGATGAAAACATATCACCAAAACTTTCAAAAGTGTTTTTAAATTTATCTCGATCCATTGGACAAATTCCAGCAGACCTAAAGCCATTCATAGCTTTATCAATACTTGTCGTTCTATTAAAAGCCTTTGTATAAAGGCCTACAACATCATATGCCGTAATTTTGGTTCCTGGATGGTTGACCATGAAGGATTCACATTCCCTGTTATATGCTGTTTTTAGTGGGCCATGGAAAGTTAAATCTAAAGGCTGCATTTTATGGGATGTGTGAGGAGGCAAAGTTAAAACATGTATAAAATTCTTGCGACAAAATTCATGAGCTCTCAAACTAATGTGGCTTTCATGGTTGTCCAGTATAAGCAAAATAGGTTCATCTGCAGATGGTTTCGCAAATGCTTTGAAATGCTGAAGCCAATCAACGAAAATTGATTCAGTTATCCAGCCTGAGTCAGAAACACAAGCTACCATGTTACTGTTACTGTCCTTCATAAGCAGTGCATTCATCCGCTTTCTTTTAAATATAAAAAATGGGGGAATGTATGTGCCTCCAGCATTGAAACAATTTATAACTGTGGTCAAGGAACCACGTTCTGCGCTAGTACATTTACCTACTTGTCTTAAACCTTTCGGTGCGAGAATCCTGGAATTTCGTTGTACAGTACTAATCCCCGTTTCATCAACATTGTAGATTGAATTTGACTTAAATTGGTATTTTACCATGAGTGTTTTTAAATTTTCAAAAAATATATCTATTTCTTCTTGATTAAATGCTGTGATTCTATTTATTGAAGTAGCTTCTGGTCTGCGAAGTGATATATTGGGGTGTCTCGCCATAAAATTGTAATACCAATCTATACCTGCCATTTTGGTATCTTTATTGAAGTCATTTGCTATGTTATTAGCAGCGGCAAAATCAAAGGCTATTTTTCTTAAGGTAGGAATTGTTATCCCAAAGAAGGCTTTACAACATTTTAAAATAAATTCGACCAGTTCATTTTCTTGAGATTCATTAAAAACTGATTTCTTTCCTCTTTTTGGCATGGTACTAATACAGGCTTTTTTCACTTGATCAAAAAGCGTCGCTCTGGGAATGCCATACTTCTCTGCCACCTGTCGAAAAGGAGTCTTTTTGTCTTTAATTTCTTGCACAGCTCTTTGTAAAGTTTCAATGGTGTAAGTAGGTAGTTTTTTCTTTATATATTTTCGAGGCATCTGGAATATAGAATTATTTCTATAGGTTTTGATATATAATAGGTTAATTACAAAAAAGAATATAAATTTATATAAAAATAATAGGTTTTGATAAATAATGGGGTAATTACGGACGTCCGTATTTACCCCAGGCCATTTGTCCGCAATTGACCCAAACGAGTTCGAAAAAGTACAACAACAAAATTTTTAGGTTAACAAAATTTACCAAGACAAACGGTTGTACTATTTACTCGTCATTAACATCGCAATCGACAGAAAATATGACATTCTTACTGACACTTATTCTTTTTGAATAACACTCAAAATACTTTATACCAAAAATTACATCAAAATCACAAAAAATGTAAAATTTTAATTACCTTGAAACGTGTGCGCAGCCGTCTGTCGGGAATGTTTAGTGGGCACTCAAGATGGCGGAACGTAACGCGTGATCGCGGCGGCGGGACGCGGGCGGCAGGTATAGAGTAGATATATGTTAGTCCGTATTTACCCCGCGTCCGCAATTCCCCCATCGTCCCCTAAATATTTTCTGTAAAATCTTCTTGAAATAGTCATTATTATCGATACAGAGGCCGAATCTATATTTTTTAGAATTTTTGTTCGTCTGTCTGTCTGAGGACACATCACAAGAAAACTACTGGACAAATTTTGATGAAATTTGGTACGATGTCAAGATGGTCAATATAATATTATAGGATACTTTTTACAGTAGAACAATATCTCATCTCTAAGAAATCCATGTTAAACGTTAAAACGTAACTAGGGACGAACGCAACGGAGTGAGGGTTAATCATAGTATTACAATAAATGTAAAATAAAAAAAAAATAGGTAATTTACGAATATAAGTCTAATGAAATTTTTCAATCTTCTACCTTCAATATTAAAGTCCTTGCCTTAGAACCTTTTAATTTCCGCACGTTATCCCCGAAAATGCCTCATAAGAGTCATTTTAATTTTAACCAAAATTTCACCGACATTTTCACACTTTCATACCGACACTGTAATTACACATGAAATTAATTTAATTACGGAAATTTTAATTTCATTTATACCTTTAAATATCCAAATGGTTTCGTACTATCAATTTGTGAAATTATTTACGTGATATTAAAACCTTATTAATTTCCATATTTGAATCCTCACAATATTATCAACAAATTATATATACGTTCTTATATATATTTACGTAAAATTAATCTATGGGATATTCTTATAATAAACTTATAAGAATCTTTTTAATGAAAGAAGTCCCAATTTTGCTTCATTAATTCTATCATTTGATTATATTGATTGAAAATAATTATATAGCTATTATTTAAAATTTTAAATAATGTATTATTTACATTTCATAAGCATATTATATTTCATGTTTACTTAGAGTATTTTTACATAGAATAATTTCTAATTGGTTTTTTACGTAGCATAATATACCTAATCTGGTTTCTAGTTTTTACACAGTAATTTTGTTTCAGGAATACGACAAGAGCAAGATATTTTCGTTCGACTTATCGACTCAGTTACCAAACAGGTAAGTTATTAGAATCTGATGCTTTAAATATACTTTATAAATTTTTATCTACATTTATTTACGTTTAATTAATATTTTTATGTGTATAATATTTGTTTTTTTTTTAAATTCATTACATAACTCTGAATTATATAAATTTGTGTGTATGTATTCACCCCTTTTTTAACGTCCCACTGCTGGGCACGAGCCTCCCTTTACTATAAAGGAGATCAGCCATAGTCCACCATGCTGGCCAAGTGCAGGTTTAACTGAAAGCTTGCTAGGTTCTCTCAGCTATGCAAGTTTCCTCACGTCGTTTTCCTTCATCGTAAGACAAGCGGTAATCATGTTGGAAATGATTCGCACATGAAAATATCAGAGATGCGAGACCCGGGATTGAACCCGCTTCACTCTGTGTCTCAAACGAGCGCGTTACCACTAGGCTACCACTGCTTTATATAAATCTGTTAAGAGGTAATATAGTTTTGCTAGCTAAAATATGTGTAGATAGATTCATAATCCGCCTCCACCTCAATCTGCCCACCACGTGTCCGCCACGCGGCAGATTGTCATCGGGCCCGATTAGACCTACAGCACACACGCCTACCCGCTTTTGGTGTAGGGATTTCGCACCCTTTATACAATATCGAGTTTGAAAAACGACACTTAAATTAAAGCTTTTTAAATATTTATACTGTTATTTTCGCCTGAAGATTATTTATTATGCGCCAACCAAAAGATTTTTGTAAATATTGTAGGATATTTTATAACAAAATATTCATTACTTATTGTTAATTGTATTTGTGTGGATATTAAAATAGTCTATCATAATATTATTTTAATTTTCTTAAATACATATATTAGATTGATATAAAGATTACATTAAATTTTGTTCGAAATAATGTTGTTGAAAATAAATAATAAGTGAATTTTGTAACGAGAAATTTGAGATGTGATTGACAAGGTGTAAAAGGTTTACAATACAATACTTAATAGTACAAAATTTTGGACATTTAAGCGTCACGTCACGTGTAAAGGGATCTAGTGGATGTGAATAAGCAAAATTTTGGATAATAAAATTATACATATATTATCTATGATATATTATTCTTAAGAAACTTAGCAAATTCACAATATTCACGAAACTGTTCCCAATTGAAACTTCTGCCTGGGTGTATAAAATATTATTTTTCATTATTTTATATTCCAAAAACATAAATAAAGTAGGTATATCATGTAAAACAAAACACATTATTTTAAAAATACAAGCTCTCGGAATGAGATTGATATTAAGTAATAAACAAAGCAGTTCTAACAAGGGCTCATACAATTATCACGTACGAGTTTATTACATAAATAATAATTTTACCGTAAAACCATCATGAAACTTCAGTGTACCTACCTCACATATATAATTTCAACACGTCCCGAGCTCTTAGTGTTGTGTAACAAGAGGCCAATTACGAAAGATTTATGCCATGAACATAATTAACTTAGGCCGAACGTTGTTCACTAAGAAAGCAATTGTGCGTGTATCTGTACATTTATAGTGCAATGAAATGCCTTTCGCAGTCGTATCGTTGAAATTTTGCAGCCAACTTTTTATTATTACTTTTATATTTTCATAAAGATATTAGAGACTTTATTGTAGACGAATATTTAAAGTATATATTATATACTCAGACTTAAAATATACCTAATTTATTCAATTTTATACTTTTACATGCAATTTTAAAACAGCTTTTGAACTTTTAGTGTCGTGCCTTAAACTTTATTCATTTAAAAAACAATATCAAGTAGAATTATTAGTATTATTAACTCATATTAAATGACATGTCATAATTAATTAAGTGTAATATGAAGATTGCAATCATAATATTATTATGATTAATCGTTAAAGAGATCCGAGTGACACGCAAAACAGTCGTTCAGTAATGTCAAAGATGGCGACTAGATACTTGCTCATTTAATTGTATTAAATCGTTAGGCAGAAGGCGAAGGCATACTGCCAATCAACTAATGCAGCATGCGAACACGGCACGCAACTACGAAAAATTAGCCGGTCGCGATATTTTATTAAAACGTATGTGGAGTTATTGATCTTGTTTAAAAACTTTTATGTGAAGTAGGTTATAAAGTAAAGAAATGAATTTTTGATGACCGCTAGGACTTGTTAGATATGTTGAATGCTACTGCATTCTAAGAAGAAGGCTACGGATTCATTTTTTACAATAAACGAATATTTGCATTGTTCACACAAATTATTATTTTCGTTTAGTTAAGACAACATGTGATGTAATAACTCCCATTTAACTCTTCAAATCTTCTATTCTTACTCATATAGTGAAGTATTACTGTAATATGTATATTTTTATTCTCGAGGTAAAAAAAAATTGAAACTGGTAATAGCTTTTTAAAAATATTTTAATATAATAAGTTACATAAAACTAAATAGCAAGTAATTACAGGCCTCGGTATAGTAAAACGAAGCGGATTATTTCAATTCACACAGTAAATCACTATCATATCAATATCTAATATATCAATCTGGCTACCCCCTGTTTGAGTATAGTCTTAAGATACTGACTCATGGTATACAAAATGAGATTCCTGCAAATCCCATAGAACTCCCATAGAGTACACTGGTGTTTGTATAGCGAAGCGTGCGTGCGCACGTGGCCGAATGATTGTGTTTGCTTTACAATGTTCAAACAACATATTAATTTGGTACTTTTTGTTGGGAAAATGACTTTCGGAAGCCATTTTTGATGTAATAGACGGATTGATTAAATGATTACCGCAGACCTTGCAATTTATAGCCTTCATCAGAGTTAATTAATAGCAAAAATAATAACAACTGATAATATGAGGAAATCAATCGTTATGAATACCTATATTATAAGTTGGTTAAGCTATATTAAAATTAATAAGCTCATCGGTATTTTTTTCGTTATATACCAACTATTTGTACGTAATATTGTTTGGTATCATTTAGTATGCAAATAAAATATTCTGGTGCATATATCTTGAGAGGTGCAAGTACAATAATAATAAAAATATCTGCGCAACTCGAGTCGCGCTCGCTTTGTCGCGAATGTATAAATCACTGCACTTCTGTCTTCTTTATGTCCTCCGCCTTATTTTATTTCTTACAAGTTTATTGTTTTTTAAAACAAATGTAATTTAACGGACTTTGGCAAAAAATTGTATTCAGCACATTAATTGATATAACAAATATATTACCATCTGTCATCGCTAAGTTTTACTTCTATCTATCGATTGATCTATTCAACCCTTTTTAACGTCCCACTGCTGGACACGAGCCTCCCTTCAATACGAGGGGATCAGGCCATAGTCCACCACGCTGGCCAAGTGTGGATTCGCGGACATCACATGTCTTTCGATAACTTGTTAGGTTCTCTCAGACATGCAGGTTTCCTCAAGATATTTGCCTTCACCGTATGGCAAGTAGTAATCATGTTACAAATGATTCGCACATGAAAATATCAGAGGTGCGAGACCCGGGATTTAAACCCGCTTCACTCGGTTTCCCAAGCGAGCGCGTTACTGCTGGGCTACCACTGCCTTTACTTTTACTTAGTGTTTCTAAATTCTACCTAATACTTTTAACTTTACCGATCACTTTACATTGGTACACAATTGTAGAGTATTTCGTTACTGAAGTGATATGTATTTAAAAAGCAATATAATTGATAGGGGTAAAGCATTTAATTATATTGCCATTTTAATTTTTAAAGATTTTTCACAATTGAAAAAAAAAACAATATGAAAAATCACTTTGTAATTTAAGTATATGAGGTTTTATTAATTTAAAAAAATATATCTTTAAATTATTCGTTTTTTATAATTACCATTATAAATAGAGCTAAGTAATATCAGAATTTATTTTATTATTCTTAGTCTTCTTTCGTTATTGCTCGTTAAATAACGATTAACCTCATCTTTGTTATCACTGTCTTTTTATTCTATTGAAAATATTTGAAATGAGCAGATACATATATTTTTTTGTTTATATTTATTTATGTACCATAAAATATATGTTATTTATACATATACTAAAATTGTAACTAAGCCAAATCTGTACATCAGATATTTTTTGGAAAATCTTATTGAAATAAACATTATTAGCGATACAGAGGCTGAATCTATGGTTTTTAGAATTTTTGTCTGTCTGTCTATCTGTTACCGCATCACAGAAAAACCACTGGAGGGATTTTTAGGTATGGTGATAGCTGGTTATCCGGGTCAACATATAGGATACTTTTTACCGTGGAAAAATATCTCATTTCTGAGAAAAAAAAATACAAAAACTGTAATGTAAGAGTATACTAATATGTAAAACCTAAGAATTTGGTTTTTGGTCATCTGAACGTGGGCGGAGCCGCGAGCAATGCTAGTACAAGATAAAGTAACAGAGTGTCGACAAAGTATAACTTATGTCTTATTATACATATACTTTCTTAAATACAAAAATGTCTCCTGTCCAATTTCATTTTTAATAAAAAACGTTATTGAAGGAACGGTTTTAATTTTGGGGTAAAAAAATTAAAAGTAATATTTAAATTAAAATTTAAAGCAGCTAGACCCAAAATAGGTAATTAGTATTTTTTTAACCCTCCACTAATTCCCATGAGATTGAATCCCATGCGGCGCTGGTAGCCACTGCGTAGTCTCTCCTGAGGGACCCGCCCCAATGTGAACTTGAAAAATATACCCACTGGAACGATGTAACTAACAAGTAGTTTACCTTCGTTCTGATAATTTCTTTATTCATTTACATTTGACTATTAATTTTACTTGCTTTGCTTACGCATTGCTTATAATTCGTAGTTATGATCGAACTTTCTTTCAAATAAAACTGATTTCTTGTTTAATTTTATTTCTCTTTCTCAGTCTCTTCCTCTTCTAATTTGAACGTAAACAATATTATAGCTCAACTCGTATTTTGAAGTAGAAAAGTGTTCTTCCTTATTGACATCGAATCAAAGTAGCCCTTTGTTTTAACGAGATTTTTACTCTATAAATAATATTTAATTAATATAATAAATACAAGAAATCAGAAAGAGAAAAACCTTATTAAAACTACTTTTTTAAGCAAATATTAGCAACTAAATATGATCTCTATTAGAAGTAACACCTGATGCCCTTTCATCCACATGCGACCCTAAGTCATTTAGGTCCTTAAATACCTTCCTATGACCCTTAAATACTTATTACAAAACGGCCTGCACAAAATCCAGATAAATCCTTTGCACAAAAGATGATAATACCCCTCTATTTCATATTCGATTAAATATTCTATACAGGGTGAAAAATCTATCATGGGTTTGAGGATTGAGGAAGCTAATTTCGCTTTTTGAATACACATACTAAGCTTAATAATAACTTATTGTAGGTATGTATGTCCTAAAATACATTAGGACTGGCAATTTCATTTTGCCTTACAATACCAAAGTTGTACATGATTGAAATAAATATTGATAAAATTGGATTTATGTCACTCTCCAGCCTTTCAAACAAAAAATAATCACATCAATCAGTTTCTTTATTTTGGCGTGAAAGATGGACAAAAAAATTAACACCCTTTCAATTTTATAATATTAGTATTCGGTATAAAGTGATATCATATTTGAAAAAGATACATATTGATAACATATAACAAGTTATTCCTATCTAAGACAATAAATAGTTTGAGAGAATAAAGTAACAAAAAAACATGTGTACGAACTTTGGTAAAGAATAAATTATATATAGTGCACTAGGATTATTGCACAGGCTGTGAGGGTGACCAGTAATTAGATATTAATAGATAAACGGAAAGACACGTGTAGGGTACATCAAGTTATTGTAGGGGAGAAACTTTCCAAGTCGCAGAAAAATTGTTTTACGGGAAGGGTATCGCGAGGATATTGATATATTATATCAAATAAGAATATATTTTTATATGAGTTATGACTTTTTTATTTTGGTTAGTGAGACTTATTAAATCTATTAAATAATCTTTATCTATAAATAATTGTTTAATTTAACAGGTATTACTAAATTTTCTTCGCATAATTGGATCTTATGATAAATCTTAATAAATAAAATCTTATTTAATTTATTTAGCTTTTAAGAAGCTTTTTTAACGGGTTAAGAACAACGGAATAAATGCTATAATAAATTAAAAACAGCAAGTAAAACGTATTAATATATTAAAATATTACATAAAAATTATATAGAGTTATGGATACATTTTAAAATTTTGAGTAGTCTTAATCTTTAAATCAAAAGAAATAGAATAGCTGTTATAAAAGTTCACCAATACTAAATCTGAAAAATTTATGTAATCGCAAGCTTTTTCAAAACCATAACAAATTAAGTCATTCAAAAGCTTCATTTTAGAACTATGCAAATGCTTTTTAGTATAGATGATAAAATGCGATTATGTATTAAAGGGTGCATAAATTAGCAAAAAAGCAATAACTTGATGAAGACGAAAAATTATCTTATCTACACGCGGATTTTTAATTAATTTAATATGCGTAATCTCGTCTAAGTTATAGCGCTGCTACGATACACAAGTTACGGTACTATTAAAATAATTAAAAATATTTAAATAACCACCTTATCTAGCGATAAACAAATGGATGACTAACGCTTTATAGTGTAATACCTATAACACACTATACTACATAAAAATATTAGATTAAATCTTCTAATTTAGATATTATATATTAATTTTGTTTTGAGATATTGTCTAACGTATCCTTTTGTTATTATATGATGTAGGTACAATAAAATGTATTTCAATAAATAAGACGTAATGTTGTTATTGTAATTAAAAACGTTTTTATTTTTCAGCCGATTGTCTATGAAGGACAAGATAAGAATCCAGAAATGTGCAGAGTGTTGCTCACCCACGAAGTCATGTGCAGGTATATATTATTATATTCGAAACTATCGAGAAATAAATAATGCTTGTCATCTTATATCTTGACTTCTTAGAACTTGTCATAGTAAGATAGATATTAATGATAAAATATTTTTTGCGCTACTCCAGACTTATCTTGTTGAACAATTAAAAATTCTACCCCCTCTAATTTGATTAAACTGCCACGATTTGTACAATACAGTAAGAACGTTAACGTTTGTCACAATAACAGTAAACAAAGCGCTTCATTTGCGGTACAATATTTCAAACTCAATTCCAGCGGCTGCGTAATTACAAAACTCTAGGAACGTCGCGAAACAACAAGTGAATGTCCTTATTAATTTAACCATTTGTTTGGGGTGGTTTTTCCGGTCGTAACAGTAACGCGTCTCGCCGCTGCACGCATGTGTGTATTGTGACAACAAACCGTGTCTGTGTGAGCAATTAAAATTTTATTCTACCTTAGACGTAATATGTCCATCTCATGTCGCGCGATATGTGTGTCCCTCTCTCTCGTCTTCAGGGGAGGAGTCTCGAGGGAGTCTGTCCTTTCAATGTCTTTGCCCTTTGCGTCAAGGAGCCGCGATAGGGTGCGTGCACCCAACGTCGTTAACTTAACCTGGATACGGCTTCCTTGTTTTATTTTTATTATATTAATTTTCAAGGCTGCTTTAGCATATTAAGTTTCTACGAAGTTTGTTTGTAGGCCTTACTTAACTACTTATTGTTGTAGTAAAATTATAATAAATTATAATTATTATTAGGTAATCCAATAACTTCAATTTTTATCGACTTTGCAATACAGGATGTACTGAATACGTCTTCTTTTTTTTGTTATTAATTTATCTTTAAAATAGCTTTTTTACTATAATTTTTAAGGAGCTAAAGTAATAACTTTTATTATAGATGTTACCATAATCGCTAAGCCTATTTATATTATAACTCTAAAGTAAACAGTACGTTAGAAATATGATATTTTAATTAATAAAAATCTAATAAGCACTTGTCCTTTTCCTATTAACCACATAGATATACAATGTACCTATGTATGTACAAATACTGCTCTTTCATTATAAAGTGCTGATCTTTCATTATAAATATACTAACAATTACTGGTAAATACATAACATGTACGAGTATTTACCAGTAATTATTAGTATAGTTTATAAAAGATATAAATTTTATAGAGTATGTAGGTAGGGTAGGTGTGTATGTATGTAGGTACTTAATACGAGTAAGTGCTGGAATTGAAATATTATCTTTTTTCAGTCGCTGTTGTGACAAGAAAAGTTGCGGTAATAGAAATGAGACACCATCAGACCCAGTAATTATTGATCGGTAAGTCATTTATTTATTAAGACAAATTGAAAAAAATATTAAAACTGACATAACATATAAAGCTGTAGAGAAGCTTAAATTTTAGTAATGTTTTCTAAGATGTGATCACGTGCATAATTATACTCGTAGCTACTAAATACTAACTGTAAACAATTATTATGTATATTGTATAATATGTATGTATATTGTATATGTTCAAGATGTCAATTATACTATAACTCTTTTATCATATTACAGAAATATGACATATTAAAGATCAAGTTATCTATGTAGGTAGGTTTGTTTTATCAAACTAAAATTACATTCAAACATCTTTTTTTACCGAAGCACGGAAGACCTAAAAATAGCAAGGTACCTAAGAACACACAATATATAAAACAAAAACATTAAATTTCAGATTGTTTTTCTAAATAATAGTATTATGCTGTTATTAAATTGTTAACTGCGTATTCATGGTCTCCTCCGAACACACTTAGCATTGACAAATGTATTTTTGTGATATGAAACTTTATGAGTTTGTAACTTTTTCGAACATTTTTACGATAAAACAGCTATTTATATTTTTTAGTAGACGAAATCTTGAATGCTTTTTCCTATTAAGCTATTTTTTTTACAATACGTCTTTCTTGTTCTCATGTTTTTAATATATTTTTTAAGAATACAATAAAATACGTATATATTTCGATTTGAAGTAAGTAAGTTGGAAATGAAAATGTTTGATAGCAAACCCCACCATTCATAATCAAAACTCAACCAAACTTTGGACAAAGCTATTGTTTCTCCAAAAATGGAGCCCACAATTTGCTCTTATAGCCATACCAGTAATTGCCTGACATCTCACGCTGAGTCATTCACCGGGATTCGATGGAGGAAGCTAATCAGACTGACAAATATCGAAATTTCAATAGATTGAGCACTATCCAAAGGTGAGGGTACGTACCTTGCTGGTTTTATTTCACGTCCTTTTTCGGGAATTCAATTGAGATAGGCGTCTCCCGTTCCGAACATCGCTCGATATTTGCAATTTAGGGTTGAAGAATTTAGCTATTATCAATTCTAAATCAATATATCACTATGAATGAACCTTTTATTTTACTATTTTTCTCCAACTCACGTCTTAATTGTTTTTTTAAATATTTTTTTACAAATAAAGTGTATGACATTAAAAAGATTTTTTTATTAATAATGGTTTTGAGTTTTACGTGAAGCTTAAAACGAAAATATTGTATTAATAATATTAGCAACGTAATTAAATACTATACTTTAATGTATTCCTTAGTTATATTGAACGAAAACACTGGGTCTTTTCTAAATGTAAATTCGTTGACAACCCTACCAATTCGTTTGTCGGTTTTGTAATTCGCTCGATTCAAATTTTTTGTACCTTGGAAACAAAAAAATTCAATGACGGCCTTTGTGCGCGAACTTTCCTTTGCTTTTCGACGGGGCATGAAGTTGATCCTGGAATTTTAGAACCACGAATAAACTTGCGATATTGCGCCGTTTGATGTGTGGAAATTAAACTCTGCACCGTGTCAGTTAATCATAATCAGAGAAAACGCCGAAATAGGGACCGATGAATATTTATAGTCTATTATGTCTTTGTATCGACGTATTATGAAAAATAATCAACTTTAATACGATGTTTTATGATAAATTGTTGATGTACGCCAAGACTAAAGTCAGTGTCACGTCATATTAATCCATCAGCCATCCGCCTCGCCCATGTAACGTACACTCGCGAACTAATGCCATAATTGAAATTGTGCAATTGCGTGCGAAACGCCGGCAACGAATTCATTATCTTGTTATCTTGCTTTTTGCATTCGTGAGTAGCGCCTTTTTGTGCGATACGCTGTCCAAAATAATACGTTTTGTTGATGTTTTAATTATTTGATGTTTCATAATGGTTAATTTGGCAAATGAAAATGTCTCTCTTTGTTTACATATTAGGCTTGTATAACATTTTATATATATTGTATTTTTTAATATATAAATGATTCTTACTTATTTTTTTGTCTTGACTTTATTTCAGCTATATTTAAATATTTGGTGACGTAGTAGAGTTAAAAGGCACAGCATAGCCACAGAGTGAGAGCGCTTGAGTATCGATAACCGGGCGAATAACTGACGTAACGGTAAAAGCAGCCAACAATCCTGAACCCTTCGAATCAGCAGCAATTTGTTAAGTGGATTTTTGCCCGAGACACGATCGCGGCTCGTTGCGCTTCTGTACACAATTTCATTATCTCTGCCCGCCTGCCCGCCTACCGCCGCTCGCGCCCGAGTCTACTATTAACTTATGCGATGCTGTATTCAGCTATGGAAATTTTCACTGAGCATATTTGTTACTGCTTTTTTTAAATAACAACACGTTTGCCATTTAAAAAATATGTTTACTTAAATCTACCATGATATGTTTTTTTTTATTTTTTTCATATACATAATATATATTCTGTAAATAGAAAAATAAATTGTATTATGATTATAAGATAGAAAATGTATAAAATATAACGTAATAAGTAATAATCGTAAAGAAAAGTTTTTAGTGCCAACACCATACCACCCCTTCAAATTGTATCAATCTATAGAGGCGCAATTACAATCACAATATCGATAGGGTGCAGGTAGTACTTTAAGAGATGGACTTTCCAAATCAATTCCGACCCACGCAATGTCCCATCCAGGCAATCACTTAAGGATTTTATGAAGCGTAATGATTAAGATGTTTTGTCGTGCTTCAATTTAAAACGATAGTTTAGGGGCATTAAACCATACTCATGTTAAGCATATTGTGACCGGAATAGCTATTAATGGATTAAATGGTGGATTTAAAAGTTGTTTCTTTATTGAAAAAGAGGGAAGCTAAATGATTACAAGTCTTTATTTATAGCAGTTAAAAAATCGATTATTATATCTTTCAATTTCTTATAGCAAATAATTAATTGATATATAATTGACATATAATGATTTGATAGTTCTGTTTTGATTGAAAAAAATATTTTTTACAAAAAATTGATCCTAGATATTTAACAGTAACCTATGTGTTTATCTGTGTTCTACATTTTATCCAAATTCGTCTAGGTGTTTCAGCGTGAAGGGGCAACTAAAATACACACAGACTGAAGCAAAATTTCGCTTCTATGACAGTACCTAGTCTGATTAGGAGATGGAAATTCACTATAAATAATAATATTCATGAGTTTCATACTTATTTATTGTCAACAAAAAATTCCGGCATTTCTAGGATCCGATGATTGAAGCTTAAAGTCTAGAAAATAATTTCGTAGTATATACTCTTATTATATACGTACACAGTTTGCGAATAAAGAAATAGGTGCGACTTGGAAGTTTGGGTTTTTAATTAAAATATATTGCACAAAAATCTATTAATATTTTTGAAACTTGCGTATTTATTTCAAATTTATCCTTTAAATATATCCTCCTACTTCCGAATGGATAAATGATATGTAAAGAAAAAAACGAGAGACTGTGAGCTTATTCGACATATGGGTGGCATCCATATTACAATGGGATCTTTACACCCTATTTCGGGAGCGACAAAATCGATTCCCAATTCGATATGACCCTCTCATGGTCGTTACTAGGAAAGAAAATTTTATTGACATTAATAAGGCGACAACACTATTATATTCTAAAATCAAA